CACGCACACACACACACACACACACACACACACACACACACATCATAAAACAAATCAACATCTCTTCATCTGTGTGTGTCAGTGAGAGATTCTGTTGTCGTGTGTGTGTGTGTGTGTGTGTGTGTGTGTGTGTGCATACGTGTGTGTGCGTACGTGTGTGTGCGTGTACCGTGTGAGTTTGCTGCCGATCATCTGTCTGGACTGCAGGCGCTCCTCGTCCGTCTGAACAGGTAAGATGTTTTTCTCCTGCAGCTCTCTCTGAGACGGCCTGTTGCTCAGCTTCACCGCCAGAGAGTCCGCACGCAACACCTTCAGCGCCAGCGTACCTGCACACACACACACACACACACACACACACACACACACACTGAGCGTGAGAAGTGCTCTCCATCTCAGATGCAGGAGCTAGCTGATGGTTGTATGAGCTCTAGATTAGATGACTGTAATGCTCTGCTGGTCCAGCATCATCTCTTCAGCAGCTCCAGCAGATACTGTATGTCCACTCGCTGCTCTTCAGTGTGTGTGTGTGTGTGTGTGTGTGTGTGTGTGTGTGTGTGTGTGTGTGTGCACTGACTGGAGAACAGTGAATCCTCGTCCTCGTCCTCCTCTTCCTCCTCCTGCTCTTCATCTCTGTATAGGCTGGGCAGATCCTCATAGTCTGACTCGTCAGGGATGTTCTCTTTATCATCATCATCTTCATCCTCACACTCGACCACGGCAGAGCTGTACTGACCAGAGTGAAGAGCAGAGCTGCGGACACACACACAGCAGCGGTCAGAACACACACTCTCACATGGTATACACACACCTATACACTCACAACAACTGCAGGCAGACCACTGACATACACAGCAGTCAGTTGACTAACACACACACACACACACACACACACACACACACACAGCAGAATCTGCCGTGAACTCTGGCACACTACATAGACCGCACTAGTGAGTGTGTCGCACCTCTCCAGCCTCTGCATGCTGAGCGCCAGTGTTTTCTGCAGCTCGTCGATGATGCGGCAGGACGGGTGGGCGGAGCCATACTGCAGCTGCAGCGGGTGCTTATACTGCAGCAGAGCAGGCGTCTTCTGAGGGAACGACAGCGGAGATGAGGACACAGCCGGCACATACAGCATCACCTTTTTAGGAGGTAGAGGAGGAGACAGCCTTCCCTGTAGACATGAGTCTGACAAGTGCGTGCGCACACACACACACACACACACACACACACACACACACACACACACACACACACACACACACACACACACACACACACACAC